AATCTAAGGGTGGGGGCTTAGCTGGTTAGCCAGTGGAGCTAACCATGTAATTAGAGGATTGGAACTTCCAGTCCCACCCTCAGACCTCTGGGGATGAGAGAGAGGTTGGAGATTGAGGTATGTTATTGAGGTGCTTTTGGACCCCACCTAAGGATGGGAGCTGGTTGCCAGGAGAACCAATGTCGTGATTGAGGATTGGAACTTTTGGTGCCCCTCCCCCCACCAACCTCCTGGGAGAGAAGAAGGGCTGAAGGTTGAGTTAAATCACCAATGGCCAATGATTTAATCAATCATGCCTATGTAATGAAGTCTCCATAAAAGCCCAAAAGGGCTGAGTTCAGAGCTTCCGAGTTGGTGAACACGTGGAGGTGCTGGGAGAGTGGCACACCTGTGGGGTATGGAAGCTCCACGTCCTTTCCCCTTACCTTGCCTATGCATCTCTTCCTTCTGGCTGGAGGGGAGTGATGGTGCTCAGGGCAAGTTACCCCAGGAGGCACCACTCTGGTATGCGGATTATTTCTAGCTGAAGACAATAAGGACTCAGAGAACTCAGGAAGAATATTTGAGTTTCCCCTCCCAAACTGCCTAAAGAATTTAAAACAAAAGATCTGTTTCAGGAAGGAGTTACTATCATGACAGCTGTAAATATAATGTAAAATAGATGTTACAATAGGAAAGGCACCAACAAGCCCATCTTATCGGAAGTTCTGTCTCTCTGGCCACATTCTCTGGATGGCCCTGCAAGGAGTTGGCAGACAAATATTTACATTTATAAGGGAAATCTCCATTTGTAAAGGTATCACCCTCTCTGTATTGGGAAGAGGGGGGATGACCTCATTTCTAGAAACTTATCAATGTGGAAGGTGAGGCCTTAAATCTGCATAATAACCTTACTCTTGTTTACAGTGCTTTAGTGGTAATCTCCTGTAACTGACACCCCCCACCCCCAACATCCTCCTTCGTCTTTGGCTGAACATGGTATTTAAGACGAGAATTTCTGCTATTGTGTTGAGAAACGCAGTGTCCCTGCTTTCTCCCATGTATACATGTTATTAAACTTGGTATTATTTTCTCCTGCTAACCTGTCTTGTTAATTATTTGGCCAGCCATAAGAACCTTAAGGAAAAGGGCAGAGGGAGATTCTCCCTCTCTCCCGACAGGAGCTAGATGAGAAAGATTAAAGAAGAGGATAGGCCTCCTCAGCCTCCTCGCACTCCTCAGCACTGCCAAAGCCGGGAGCTCACCCTCATCTTCTGACCCCTTTGTGATAAGCAGGAGTCCTAGAGTCTGACCTGATCCTGGTCTGACCAGAAAATTCGCCCACGGTGGATGTGGGGACGGCAGCTCTCCAGGAGCAGCAGTTGATAAAACAGCTGGAATCTCAGGCCTCCTAACTGCCTGCCCTACCCATTCCCCACTCCCACCCTTACTGTTGCCCCCTTCAGCTCCTCCACTGAAGCATTGTGGGGCTCCCCAAAGTTCTGACCTCCCAGAAAGCCTGGTGGACCAGGAAATCCCTGTCCCTTACTTGGACCCGACAGGGGCCCAAAGAAGTCTGACTCTCAGGTCCCCCTCCCCAGTTAAGCCATCACCAGACACCATTCTGTGCCTGCCCCCGCCATCCACAAGAAGGACCTTCTTTTTTTTTTTTTTTTTTTTTTTTTTTTTTTTTTTTTTTTTTTTTTTAAAGATTTTTTTTATTTATTCAGTTTTTTTCCCCCCAAAGCCCCAGTAGATAGCTGTATGTCATAGGTTCACATCCTTCTAGTTGCTGTACGTGGGACTCGGCCTCACGTTGGACGGAGAAGTGGTGCCTCCGGGCGCTCCCGGGATCCGAACCCGGGCCGCCAGCATCAGAGCGCGCGCACTTAACCGCTAAGCCACGGAGCCGGCCCAGGACCTTCTGATAACCCTGACCACCCCTGCTGCCCCACCCAGGCTCCACATTGCGTGTAGGGGTGCAAGTAGCCTGCTAGGCAGAGGGCACTGTGTGGCTATACTGCCTGAACCAGCGCAGCCTATTCCTGCAAAGCTTTTTTCAGCCTCTGTGGAAAAGCCAAGGACTGGAGACCACTGCTATGTGATATGGGTGTAAGCAGGGAGGAGGAGGGTTTTACACTGAATACCTTGTGCCATGATGCCTGGAATTTGATAAGTGTTTAGAGAATGAATAATTGAACCAGCACTGGCCTTCAACCTGTTATCAAACTTCAGGGTTTCTGTAAGACCTTTGCCCAGTCTCCCTCAGAAAGGGGTCCAAGAAACCAAGGAAAGGTGGATTCTAAAGTCCCTGTCTGTACTTATTTTCTCTGAGCAGAGTTATTATGTAATCGGACTGGTATTTTAGAGTCATATCAGACTGACCTGGAGGGTAGAGAGACTAGAGGCAAGAAGATCAGTCGGGAGGCTGTTGCAATGCCCTCATGAGACATAAGAGCCAACTCAGGGTGATAAGAAGAGGAATGGAAAGGAAAGCATAAAAGCAAAACACAGAGTGATTTTCCTCAGAGAACCAGCCTTTGAAGTAGGATTACCAGATAAGATACTTATACTAAAAAGTTATTTGTTTATCTGAAATTCAAATTTACCTAGTGACCCAGGGTTTTTTATTTGTTCTGTTTTCTAAGTCCCGCAACCCTACTTCAAAGAGGTACCTGAAAGGACTGTGGCCTAACTTGGGGGCTTCTTATCTAGACAGTGGGCCATCAGCATCCTTTCCCAGCCCAGGCCAGCCCCCATTCTCTCTCCCAGTGCGGTACAGGCTTCAAGGACTTGGCCCTTTTTCCTTTTCTTTTCAACGCTGTCACCACTCGCTGTCCCCTGGGCTTCGTTCGAAGGCCTGAGTGTGAAGCAGGCTGCAGTTGCCCTGTCTACCCCCTTCCTTGCTTCTTACTCCCACAAGAAGCCCCCAGCCTCTCGTGAGAATTTTACCTCTAACCACTAGAGGGAAAGATACAGGGAAACAAATGTAATAAACAACAAAAAGTGTACAAGGCTTTAAAAGTTATTATAGTCGGGGTCTCAGATTAATAGCTGCTGACCACTACTCTCCCACAGTGATTTAAACACCTTCTCCTTAATTCCTGAGGATGAGGCTCAAGATTGAATATTCTGCTGCCCATTCATCTCTATGAACCCTTGGCCCTCCAGGAGCATTTCCACACACACACCTTCCCCCACGGCCCACAGAATTGTGAGCCACTAGAACACATTCGAGCTTAAGGGACAAAGGGCTGTGCTTCTTGTTGAGAATTCACCAAGAGATGTAAACTCTAGAAAGCCATGAAAAATTAAACAAAACTAAGGAAAGTTTTTGAGGGAAGAAAAAATGAAAATACAGAAACACACAGGTTTTCAAAATTCTTTTTACTGTGGCAAAATAAACATAAAATTTACTTGAACTTTTTTTTTTTTTTTTGTGAGGAAGATTAGCCCTGAGCTAACATCCGTGCTAATCCTCCTCTTTTTGCTGAGGAAGACCGGCTCTGAGCTAACATCTATTGCCAATCCTCCTCTTTTTTTTCTCCCCAAAGCCCCAGTAGATAGTTGTATGTCATAGTTGCACATCCTTCTAGTTGCTGTATGTGGGACACGGCCTCAGCATGGCCAGAGAAGCGGTGCATCAGTGCTTGCCCGGGATCTGAACCCGGGCCGCCAGTAGGGGAGTATGTGCATTTAACCGCTAAGCCACGGGGCCAGCCCCCACTTGAACCATTTTTAAGTGTACAGTTCAGTGGCATTAAGTAAATTCACATTACTGTGTAACCATCACCACTATTCATCTCTAGAACTTTTTTATCATCCCATGTTGAAACTCTGTACCCATTAAACACTACCTCTCCATTCCCCCACTCCCACCCTGCTCCTGACAACACTGTTCTGATAAAGAGATAAAAGAACATTTATCTCCATGAATTTGACTGTTCTAGGTGCCTCATATGAGTGGAATCATAAAATATTTGTCCTTTTGTGTTTGGCTTATTTCACTTAGCATAATGTCTTGTATGGGAGGAAGAAATACTCCTCTACCCTCCAGGTTCTTCTGGCTGGTCTAAGAATTAAATCAATATGAGACAGAGTAACAGGAGAAAAATCAAACAAATTTAATAACATGTACACATGGGAGAAACCCAAGAAAACTGAGTAACTCACCAAAATGGCCGAAGCACCCACATTAAATATCATCTTCAGCTAAAGACAAAGGTGGATGTTGTGGGTAGTGGTTTGAGACCTCAAAGGTGAGGAAAGCAATTCACATGGAGATGGATGGAAAAGCAAATGTTTGGTAAACAAATGTTTGTTGGGCCTTTATAGACAACCGAGACCAGAGAGTGAGAGAACTTTGATAAAAATGGGCCTTGCTTTGATAAAAATGGGTCTTGCAAGGTGCCTTCCTGTCTACCATCTCTATAGTTATCTATGGTGATATCTCCTTCCCCGGGACAGCCTTTCTATGTTAAATTCTTTCAGGTAGTTATGAGGAAGGTAGAAGTTTCTTTCTGAGTCTTTTGTTCTTAAAAATAATCAAGCCAAAGAGACACATTTTGGGGTCGCATACTGTAGCATCCATATTGTAGCATGTATCAGAATTTCATTCCTTAAGGTTGAATAATATTCATATGCAGTTTCACGCACACTTTAGTGCCATTAAAAATACACTCAAATTTAGAAATATAAAACTATATGAATATAATCTGGTTTTCTCATAAAGTTAACATGGGAAGGCTATGGACAACTGGCGATATAAGTATTTATTTTTCACCTTCCGAGAAAACAAAAAGTACCCACCCCCCAAAATGGTTCCTTTCCTCAGCTCCTGAAGTCTGGAGATTTTCAAAATTCGCCGCTTCAAGGACTATAAAGAACTACAACTCCCGGCAGCTCTAGGGCCCGAACCTTCTCCCCGCCCTGCCCGCTCCAGCGACTCCATTTCCCAGAAATCCCAGTGCCTGCGTCAGAGCCCGCACTTCCCGGGCGCCCCCTCGCGGCGCGCTTCAGCAGGGCTTCAGTTCCCGGCGGCCCTCGCGGCAGGTTCCGGGCGTAAAGGCGCTTCGCGATGGCGGGGGCTGGTTCTGCCGCTGTGTCGGGGGCAGGGACCCCGGTGGCGGGGCCTGCAGGCCGAGATATCTTCGCCGAGGGGCTCCTCGAGTTCCTGCGACCGGCTGTGCAGCAGCTCGACTCTCACGTCCACGCCGTCAGGTGCCGGGGAGGGAAGGCCTGGGCGGGGCCTCTCCTCGATTTGGCTTTGTAGGGGCGGGGTTAAGAAAGGGCGGGGCCAAGATCAGCCGGCTTCAGGCGGGAACTGATTGGAGGCAGGGCAGAACGGCGGAAGGCTGCAGGTAGGGGGTTGAGGCTGGCTACTCCCAGGACTTGGGAAACACTTTTTTTTTTTTTTTTTTTACAGTCCAGAGGTCTTTTATTTTTTTTCACCTGTCATGCCATGAATTCATAGGGAATGGGTTCCAGCAGCTCAGGCTCCTTTCCATTGGTTCTCACAAAGTCGGCGAATAGGTTTCTTGAGTTCCATTAACTGTCTGTAGGCCTTGTACATTTTTGCAGAGAGAGCCAGGTAGAGCTCCGGGAACAAATTGACAACCTAGCTACCGGTGAGTAAACAACCCTGAATATCTGGAATCCACCAAGTCACTTTCAGCACCTTATGTTTTGCCAGCCTCTGGGCTGGGGTTCTGTCACTTGCTTTCAGGACATCAGGGCTGCCAACAGACTCCTCCTTTATTAAGTTTTTAGTGACTGTGGCCCATGTGGGTCCAAGAGTGTCTTCCATCCCATTTACTAGTCTGCTTTTCCTAAGGACAAGAAATGAGCCATTAGGTGTTAGTTGCACCTTTCTTTCATCCCCCCAGAACTGTGCCGTATCAATGAGGATCAGAAAGTGGCCCTGGATCTTGACCCCTATGTGAAGAAGCTACTTAATGCCCGGCGACGAGTTGTCTTGGTTAACAACATTCTACAGAATGCCCAGGTAAAAGAATTTCCTACCAACAGTGATTCTTTGTTCTGCTTTTTAAGTCCTCAGGGTATTCTCCAATTTTCCAGGGATGTCGCAAGTCCCCAACACAAAGTCACCATAATTTTTAGTCTTTAGGGAAAGAGTTGTCAACTGAGCTAGTGTCAGCCGTAATAGAACTCGCTGTTCTTATTCTCATTACCCAGTTGCTATCATTTACATTCTTATATACCTTAGAAAACTTACCTTGAGATGGAGCAAGCCTAAGGTATTTCCCAGCACCTAGTTGACAGTGAGTTCTAATGCCTTTCACAGAACAGTTTAATTAGATTCCAAATCTTGTCTTGTAGGAACGGCTGAGGCGGCTAAACCACAGTGTTGCCAAGGAAACAGCCCGCAGGAGGGCGATGCTGGATTCAGGAGTTTACCCCCCTGGTTCCCCAAGCAAGTAACAGGCCAGAAGATGGGCCCATGGCCTTAGAATAGCACAAGTAATATTCCCCAGCTGCCTTGTTTCCTCCAGGACTCACTTAAACCTTGGGACATCAAAAAGGCAGCCCTGTGGCTTGTGTTTGAAGCACTTAAGTCTGACCCATTTATGTGGGGCCCCAAAGGAGCCTGTGTACAGCAGGACTCAGGATCTCAAAGGATTTCTTATGGCTCTTGCTTCCTTCCAAGAATGAGCTGAGGCCTCTACATTTGATTTTTTTTTAAAGCTTCATATTCAAGGCCCACCTCCTCTACTTTCTTGAAGCCTAGTTAACCAGGGAGGGGTTTGCTCTGTTACATGTGTGGTTGTTGAGGGCCTGGGCAGCACTTCCGCTACCTGTGACTCCTTGTTTCCCTTTGTTTACACTGAAGATTTGAGAGGGCAAAGTCAAGGTGAATGACCCATCTACCCTCTTGTTGATTGCACTTGCTTGAATACAGTAGCAGTGTTGCTAGAACCATTTAATTCAATAAATGCTTAAACAGTATTCTAGTTTACTCTGGTATATGGAAAGGTTCCAAGAGTCTTTGTACTTTATTTTTTGAGGAAGATCAGCCCTAAGCTAACATCCATGCCAATCCTCCTCTTTTCGCTGGGGAAGACTGGCCCTGGGCTAACATCTGTGCCTATCTTCCTCCACTTTATATGGGATGCCGCCACAGCATGGCCTAACAAGCGGTGCCTCGGTGCGCACCCAGGATCCGAACCCAGGCTGCCAGCAGCAGAGCATGTGCACTTAACCGCTACACCACGAGGGCCAACCCCAGTACTTTAATAATTTAAATACAGCTTCAAATTGTGATCTAGTGTTTACAATGAAGACTCAAGTATCATTTTCAATGAAGGGTATAGAAAGAAAAAGGAAGCAAAAAAAGGTTGTCAGGTGCCAAGGAAAAACAAGACCAAGAGCCCTACTAGGAAGTACTTTAATCATTTTTCTCAGAAAAAAAATTTACAGACAGTAACAGTTCACAACATTTCAACAACAAAGTACTGGTTGAGAGAGGTTTCTAGGAGCTGGGGATTCTAGAGTATTAGGAAGAAAAGTTGGTATCCTGCTTCACTATAGATGGCACAGGTCATAAACGGGAAACTTCTGGCTACTGAGTCAGTATCAGAACCCCTGGAATGACACTTCCTTCTATAGAATTTATCTTTGTTTTCCTTCCTGTCTCCCCTATCCTTTAGAAATGCCACCATATAAAGCCCAGTAGCAGTTAGCTTAGGCTCTAGTCTTTCCCTTGGGTAAGAAACGAGGTGAAGAGAAGGGAAGGTCACTCCTGAGTCTCCATGCTTTCCTCTTCTTCTCCTTGAGGTGGTTCTTCTGTATTTTCCTCCTCTTCCTCTCCTTCCTTCTTCTCTGGTGGCTTCTCATATGCCTTTTCTGAAGGTGTCACTATCACTCCATCCCAGGTAGATATTTCAGAAGCAAGATCTAGAAGAGAAAAAAAGGTGATTTCAGGCAAGTAGCCGAGCATACAAGTCATCTACATGGCAGAAATATTCAGACTTCTGAGTAGTAGAGAGATTCTTTGTAGACCACGGAGTACCATAAAGAACCCTTGACCCTCAGTGGTCACTCACAGCTGGCATCACCCTCCTGGCCAAGGATCTTCCTAAAGCCACCATGTGAGAGGATTCGGACCAGAGTCTGAGCTGTGTAGCAGACCATGTCCTGAAGGAGAGCAAAGGGAGGGTAAATTAGCAAGGAGAACCAAAGTACCTTATTTGACTAACATTCTCATAAAAACAGAGATGAAGAGAACTTTTAATTTTAAAACCAAAGTCTGTGAGAACCCTCAAATCCCTGACCCTTTTGCCTTCTGACCAGGAGAATTCAAGAGTGGGGCACAACAGACCATTCCAGAGCTGTCCAATACCTGCTGTTCCAGAGTCATGACTGTGTGTACTCTGAAGTTGCCACTCTCACAGGGGTCAGTGATACCCACTGACCCTGGAAGGAAGAGTCCTGCAGCCAGAATCTGCAAGCAACGCCTGAAACACACGGAGGTATTAAAAGAACACACAAGACAGCTTACATCCAGCCCCAAACCCAAAAAAGCAGCTATACCTGTATGCCACATTTAGGGCCAAAGGCTGTCTGGTAGGGTTGTTCATCACAGCATAGTGCCCCTGTAAAATAATAAATCTGGTGGGTGTGCCATAAAAGTGTCAATTCTATCTTCAAACTAAAACTTTAAACCATCATGAGGAAAACTGGTTATTAAGGTCTAGCAAAAATCTTCAGGTTCAGAAGCAACCCTGAAATGACTGCTCATTCAGTAATTTCTCTCCATTAATAACATTAATGAAATTACAGCAGTAATGAAAAAGACCAAGGAGCAGTAATAACTACTCAATTTAATTGAATACAGTCATGCGCCACATAACGACATTTTGATCAGCCACAGACAGCATATACGACAGTGGTCCCATAAGATTAGTACTATATAGCCTAGGTGTATAGTAGGCTGTACCATCTAGGTTTGTCTAAGTACACTGTATGACGTTCACACAACTACAAAATCGCCTAACGACACATTTCTCAGAACATATCCCCGTTGTTAAGTGACCCGTGACTTTACTCCAAAAACCCAATGAAGTAATAAATGTTGAATCTTTATTGGATTACTTGTCCACCAGTGAGATTTCTTTTAAGCTGCACCAAATTACAGATTCTGGTAGGTTTCAGAGTAACTACTATTAAATAGGGATGAACAGGAACTCCAACTGCCCCTCTTTACTTACAAGTAGGTCGAGGATCCAGGGTGTGAGGGGCTCAAAGCCAGGAAAACGAATCCTCAGGTCCTTCAGCAGTCTGATGAGAACCTTAACTCTGAAGGTAAGAGAGACTCAGGGATTAAAAGTAATAAGGATCATGTACTCTCACACTTGAAGTAAAGAGCTGAAGCTATTTCCAGAACTTCACATCCTCTTCTTTCTCTCAATCCAAATTTGCTTATTTAAGGTAAAAATCAAAATCCAGACAGAAGATCATAGCTGAAAAAGTTCTGTCAGACGAAGTATGGGGTATCCTGCTATTCACTGTAGAGGGTTAGGTTATCTTAAATAGTGAGGGAGGGACTTACGTGGACTGAGAAGCATTTTCCTCAAACCAGCGGGCATGACGGATGGCTGCTAAGGCACTCTGCAACACCTTGATATCCACTAGAAGACAAGCATGACAGGACAAGATGACACGTTCCTATTAGTAAGCAAGCAATTCAATCCCATTGCCATAGTCCAAGAACTTGGAAAGAGGACAGGTTAACTTAGTAATTCCTTAAACTATCCCATGTTCCTCAGATCAGTTAGTCACTTGTCCCCAAATCACTATTCCTCCCCCAAACCAAATCTGGAAGCATGCGAGAGCCATGATTTTCTCTCAAAGCATACCCCCTCCATAAATATTTCCTCAGTCCTTTTTCTTAAGCCCTCATACTGCTTTCCTGGCCATCCTGTCTGACAGTCACTAGCAAGGTGGTAAAACTATCTCCAAATTACAGAGGGAGACAGCAAAGTCTGGAGGTAAACATAGGTCCCAGAGGTTTCATGTGGAACAGCAATAAGCTAAGTAAATGCAACAGTAACTTTATACCATGTTTTGACTTTCCCCTAAACTTCCCAGCAATGGAAAAAAAAACACTAACAGTGGAGTTCTGGATCCAGTTTTCGGAGATTGGGTGGCACTGTTGTAATGAGAATCTTCACTGTAGCATCAGAAGAACTGATCTCAAAGCCAGTTTCATTGGTCAGCATGGTCAAAACTGAAAGAAAAGAAAAACTAGAAGCTATAATGCTCACATTTCCATTAGATTACCAAAGGTAAATCCAGGATGGGGGTGGGAGTGGGGGAACAGATACGTTTTTAAAAACAGCAAGAGTCCAGAATTAGGATTTAGAGTACAGTTTTTAAAAGTAAGGGAGATCAACTGGATTTTGAACACTGGAGATCTGTGCAAAAACTTCAACATAAAACTCTGCATTCACTCTTTCTTCTAGCCAGACCTGACTTTATTAAAAGTGTACTTTTAATTATAAAACAGGCTGCTATGACCACTAAATACATGTTCAGCAACACACTCAAACCTTCAGAAGGATCCTGTGCTCTTAGGCTTTCCACAACTTTGTTCCCTAGGGCAGCAACAGCTTCCACTAGATTGAGAGAAAAGGAGATAATGAACATTGTAATTATTTACGTAGATGTTCTATACATCTCTAAGCTACTTTACACTCTGATTTCTGCCCCATGTTCAAGGCTGGAACAAGGGCAAGCAACAGAATCCACACTTTTACAAGTGGATGCTAATGCCTGGACAGAAAAATTGGCTCAGGAAACAGGACAGGACACCTCCTCCTGTACCCACCCGCTTTTTCTACAGTAGGGCTTCTAACCAGTGGCACTAATGCCATTGGGGGCTGGATAATTCTTTTGGGGGGCTGGGGGATAGGATCTGTCCTGTGCACTGGAGGATGCTTAGCAGCATCCCTGGCCTCTACCCACTTGATGCCAGTAGCCCAAAAATGTCTCCAGACACTGCCAAATGTCCCCTGGGGTGCAAAAGAGAAGAAATTTGGGCTTTAAACATCCCTATGCTTCAAACCCAATTGCTATGTTCTCCCGTGGGCAGAAAGAGGTACACTCACATGTTGGCAGAATCTTTAGGATTACCACTAGGTCGGCTACATTGTGTCCTGTAGTCATTGTTCCTTTTTTATATGATCCGACCTGTCGGACTTCTTCAATTTGCTATTGGAAAAGGGATTTCAGGAAAAAAAATTAGAAGTGAAAAGACTGCCTCTCAGAACTCAATTACAACATAGCTTCTTGTGACCCAGATTTGAAGTAGCAGAGGTCAAGTGATATCCCCCAAACAACCACACGAAAAGCCTGATACATCACGGCTAGCTGATAACAACGATATAAGTCTTGTCCCCATAATCAGTACTATAAAGGAATTCCAGTGTAGTTTCCCATTTTCAGCTTGGCTTTGTATAATAGGCAACCAAAGAATTAAGAGACAGGAGCCAAGGAAACTTCCACACTAGCAAGGCTGCCCTTTCCTAGGACTAAATAAATCATCAAAAACTCACCACTTCAAATGTCCCTGGAGCCACAATCAAATTATCAATCACATTGTTTATTTTTGTCACCAAAGAAAGGATAGAAGCCTGAAAAACAGCAGGAAACAAAAATAACCTAAGTTGAAAAATTACGAGCAACTTCTCAGAATTTGAATATTTTCCCCTAATCCCTTCCATACAAGCGGAATCAATACTGATATAGGGCTTTGAAAAAACTCTGACCCTTCTGGCCTTGAATATGTCATAAAAGAACAAGTTTTTGATCCCAAAGATAGATTCCTCAATAAAAATATGAATGCATATGTAACCTGTTTATATATTCATCTGGCAGTCTCCCTCCACTCACAATGAGAAATAAGAACAATTCAACCCACCGTGGAGTTAGGCTCTGATAACAGTAACCTAACCTCACCAGCAGTT